TTGTTACTATGAGCATTTCAAAGCTGATGCTTTGCTTATTATACTTCTCAGTAAGAAGAGGAAAAAGGCCAGAGAATATTTGTATTCTGGTGAGCCAGTAGTGCAATGAATAAAGAACACTGTATAGATACCAGGGCAAAGGCATTATTAAGTCCATCCATGCTGTGTTCCTTGATATTATAAATTCTAGTTCTTTTCCTTAATGTTTTACTATAAAACTGTCTTTAATTCCTTTGTAGATTCCTTATGTATTAGAGAAATTGACCATTTATATTTAATAGGCATCAAAAAACTTATGAGAAGCTCTATGTGCATGAGTTGGCCTGATAGTGGGCGGACTTCACCTTTACAAGGTGTTTGAACACCAAGGTAGCATTTTTCTTGGGGTATCATCAAATGTTAGAATCTAGAGGGCTTTTTTTTCTTCCTCTAAGGCTTTTTAATTATTGGAATAGATGAACCTTTTAGTTCTGCATGGGTAGCATATGCCAGGCTGCTGGCGCTTTGGAAACAGGGTGAAGAAGAAAGTGAGGTGCTCAAGTGGAATGTGCAGTGATTCTGAGTTTTCAGCCCTGCACTGGTACTCTTAAGTTTACGCCTGTCAGATTCAGTTGTGCTACAGACTCGTGCTGCTGGAATGAGAGTGTGCTTTCCTATGGTTGCTTGCAGGAGGGGAGACCTGAGCATGGAGTGGGGTTCTAGTGGCTCTGAGATAGGTTTTCAGTCAGTTTAACAGTTTTCAGTGCCGCCTACTTTTTGTGGTACCTGGAACCTTCTAGTCCAGAGTTGTGTCAGCTTCTTCTAAGCTTATTTCCCTGGAAGTATTGAGGATAAAGAGTTCCCTGTTCTGTTCAGTCAGCTACCATGTTGCCATCTGCTTTTTGTCTTTAGACACTTAAAAAAAATCCCTTATCGATTAATGTATTTTTCCTTCATACTTTTTGTCCTTTGGAATATACATTTTGTTTAAAAAATCTTTTACTGTCATTTCAAGTCTAATTTTGAGATGCAGGGTCTATGGTTAGTCTGCAATTAAAAGGATTTTTTTTAATGTTTGTTTATGTCGAGAGAGAGAGAGAGAGAGAGAGAGAGAGAGAGACTGAGCATGAGTGGGGGAGGGGCAGAGAGTGAGGGAGACACAGAATCTGAAGCAGGCCCCAGGCTCTGAGCTTTCAGCACAGAGCCCAACGTGGGGCTCGAACTCGCCAACCATGAGATTATGACCTGAGCTTAATTCGGACACTTAACCAACTGAGCCACCCAGGTGCCCCATCAGTCTGTACTATTTAACGAGAAGTGCAGGAACCAGTTGTTAATTGCTGTCTCTCTAGTGCCTGGAACATGCAAGGTACTTAAGTAAATATTTGATGAATGAATAATTGAATTAAATAAAGTTCGAAGTTTTTATAGTAATGGGAGGCTTTGATGGCAGAAAAATATTATGATTATATGTGTTTATATAACAACCTGAAAAGCATCTTCTAAATTGTAGTTCTGCTTTGGTTCCATTCCATTTTTCATTTTTGTTCCTTGACATGGTCACGGAAACCAAGTGTTTTAAAGAGTGTCCATTAACAAAATGAAAAGGCAATCTACTGAATAGGAGAAAATGTTTACAAATAATATATCAGATAAGGAGTTAATATCCAAAATTTATAAAGAACTCCTATAATTCAATAGCAAAAAAACAAACAATCCTAATAAAAATTGAGTAGAAGATCTGAATAGACATTTTCCCAAAGAAGACATACAGATGGCCAACAGATAAATGAAAAGATGCTCATCTTCAGTGATCATCAGGGAAATGCAAACCAAAACCAGTCAGACATCATCTCACACCTATTAGAATGGCTATTATCAAAAAAATAAGAAATAAGTATTGGTAAGGATGTGGGGGAAAAAAAATCATCATGCACTGTTGGTGGAAATCTAAATTGGTGCAGCTGCTATAGACTGTATGGAAATTTCTCAAAAAATTAAAAACAGAACTACCATTTCTTCAGCAATTCCACTCTGGAGTATTTATCTGAAGAAGACAAAAACTCTAACTCAGGAGTTAAAGATATATGCACCCCCATGTTCATTGCAGCATTATTTACAATAACCAAGTTATGGAAACCACTTAAGTGTCCATTGATGGGCGAATGGATAAAGAAATTGTGGCATATATATACAATGGAATATTATTCATTTTTATCATTCATAAAAAGAATGAAATCTTGTCATTTACAACAATATGATGGACCTCAAGGGCACTATGCAATGTGAAACAAGTCAAAGACAGATACGGTATGACCTTTTAAATGAAAACTAAAACAAGCAAAATAACAAGAAAAACTCCAATAACCAAGCTTGTGGATACAAGAGAACAACAGACTGATGGTTGCCAGTGGTGGGGGCTGGATGTGGGTGAAGTTAGTGAAGGGGGTCAAAAGTTACAAACTTCCAGTTATAAAATAAGTAAGTCATGGGGATATATTGTACAGTGTGGTGACTATAGTTCATGATACTGTATTTGAAAATTGCTAAGAGAGTAGATCTTAAAAGTTCTCATCCCAAGAAAAAAAGTTTATAACTGTGTGGTGATAGATGTTAACTATATTGTGGTGATTATTTCTCAACATATACAAATATTGAATCGTTATGTTGTACAAATGTACAAATTATGTTGTACAATAAAGTTATATGTCAGTTATATATCAATAAAAATAATAAATCATGTACTCCTTCAGGATGGAAATATGTTTGTTTTACTTGGTCATGCATAATTGTAGCTATTCCATTAGTTTTATCATACACATTCGTGGGGTGCCTGGTTAGATCAGTCAGTTAAGCATCGAACTCTTGATTTTGGCTGAGGTCATGCATGATCTTACAGTTTGTGGGATTGAGCCCTGCATCATCTGTGCTGACAGCATGGAGTTTGCTTGGGATTCTCTCTCTTCCTCTCTCTCACTGTCTCTCTCCCTTCCTCCCCTATGTGCCTGCTCTCTCTCTCTCAAAAATAAATAAACATAAAAAGATACACATTTACCTATTTATAATTTTTCTTTAGAGATAGATGTATTGAAACTGATTTGTGTAGCAAATACAGTCTTTGTTCTTATTTGTATGCATGTTTAGGCAATTTTATTTATTCTATTTAGGTAATTAAAATTTTTAATGTTTATTTATTTTTGAGAGAGAGACAGAGTGTGAGTGGGGGAGGGGCAGAGAGAGAGGGGGACACAGAATCTGAAGCAGGCTCCAGGCTCTGAGCTGTCAGCACAGAGCCCAGCGTGGGGCTCAGACTCATGAACGATGAGATCATGACCTGAGCCAAGTTGGATGTTTAACCGAGTCACGCAGGCGCCACTATATCTAGGTAAATTCTAAAGGGACTTATGGTGATTATATTGTAAAGCTTTCCAGCTGCCACTGTTCCCTACACATTGGACCTTTGTAGTTAATAAAGTTTGAGAGTTACTGGATTAGTGTGACCTCTTATTTGGGTATATTTTGTATTTCAAAGTGACTATGTAAAGATGGATAAAACCTAATAGGGACAAAGAACTTAAGCTATAAAAATGAGAGTAGGTAGTAAAAATAATATTTTGAACAAACAGATTTGTATTCTCTTTATTCATAAAGGCAGCCCTAGACAATGAAGAGGGATAGATACAAGTAAGGTAAAGAGCCTGTAAGTTGGGTACAGTTCTGGATCTTGGGGCTTGCAAGTGGGATGCCTCCTCCTCCCTACCCCAAGAAATGAGTTCGTGAACTTTTTGCATTTTCCTTTAAAATTGATGACTTAATTCTAAGGTCAGATAATGAGCCAATTACAGTGTTGTTTTAAACTTCCATGCATTTATTTCCCCCCCTCCCCAATATTTGATATTTATTAAAGGAATCTACTCAGAAATCCAAAGAGAGTTCTTTCCATTAAAAAGATCACCTTTCCAGTAAAGAAGGAAGAGCCCATACCACAAAGAGAGTATGAGAGTAGGTTAAGAAAGTCCCTTATAGAAAATTCTAGGATTGCAGACATTGATAAGAAGTTGGGGGTAAGGATAAGAGAATGGTGATAAGAAACTTTGGAACAAGAGAACCATATATCTTTGTAAGTTTTCTGTAATAGATTTCTGTAATAGATTCACACCTGAATGTTTTTCTGATCATCTCCTTTAGAATCTGCATCTTTATTATTTGTTTGACATATTTTATCAAGTTGCTAACACATAGCCAGGTCTGTTTTAGGGAGAAGAAATTGAGAAGATCGTATAAATCAGAAATTAAAAGATGGAAATGGATGGGTGGGTGCAAGAAGAGGAAATATGATAAGCAAAAAGAGCTTTAGGAAAAAATCTTGAAAATATGACCATGACTTTTAATGTATACTTTTTTTTTCTCTTCTTGAATAACATCTCCAGTATGGTTGATATTGGGGTTTCTGAGAAGAAACACACACAAAAAAGAGAAAGCCAGGAAACTGTTTTATATCTTCATAGAAAATAACCTAGTACCTACAAGGTTGTTAGAACAAAAGTGTGTGATTATCATGAGTTAAATAGAAATGAGCTCAGTGTTCTTTGCCACATAGTTTTTGTGTTATTGTAAAAATGGAATATGAACCTGTACCAAAGAGTTATTAAGAAAAATATTAGTAATCTCAGAAGAACCAGATACTAAAATCTATATTAATAGTGACTGTGACAAGACCATGCTGCTATTAGAAATTTAAAAGAAAAATTAACTGGAAGGTTATAATTTTTACTTTTGAGGCAGTAATACATTTTGATTCTCTTCACTCTCACTTTATTTATAAATGTTATGAAAATTCCATCATGGTTGACAAATATAAAACAGAACAACAATATCTTAGTGCTGACTATGCTAGAGACTTGGGTATTTTTCAAGGTTTAAAAAACTTATATTTCATGATGAAAGTAAGAAGTTGAATGTTATTTACAAAGCCCATTTTTCATTTTCTTTCTGTGTCTTGGACTTGTTTGCAGGGAAAAGGTCTCCTTTGGAAGATGGAACTCTTTGTCCGTTTTCCAGAATGTGTTTCCAAGCCCATCAGTGAAACATGATACTGCTGCTCTGTGTTGAAATGCTTGAAGAACACCCACATCTCTGCCAGCGCCTTCCATCCTGCTGAAACCATGGTCTTCTCCGCGGTGTTGACTGCATCCCATACTGGGGCAACCAACACAACATTCGTAGTCTATGAAAACACTTACATGAACATTACGGTCCCTCCGCCATTCCAACATCACGGAGTTGGTCCGCTGCTCAGATACAGTATGGAAACCATGGCTCCCACTGGGATCAGTTCCTTGACAGTGAATAGCACAGCTGTACCGCCAACACCAGCAGTTTTTAAGAGCCTAAACTTGCCTCTCCAGATCATCCTTTCTGCTATAATGATATTTATTCTGTTTGTGTCTTTTCTTGGGAACTTGGTTGTCTGCCTGATGGTTTACCAAAAAGCTGCCATGCGCTCTGCGATTAACATCCTCCTCGCCAGCCTGGCATTTGCAGACATGTTGCTTGCAGTGCTGAACATGCCCTTTGCCTTGGTAACTATTCTTACTACAAGATGGATTTTTGGGAAATTCTTCTGTAGGGTATCTGCTATGTTTTTCTGGATGTTTGTGATAGAGGGAGTAGCCATCCTGCTCATCATTAGCATTGATAGGTTCCTTATTATAGTCCAGAGGCAGGATAAGCTAAATCCATATAGAGCGAAGATTCTAATTGTAGTTTCTTGGACGGCTTCGTTTTGTATAGCTTTTCCTTTGGCTGTAGGAAACCCTGACCTGCAGATCCCTTCCCGAGCCCCCCAGTGTGTGTTTGGGTATACAACCAATCCAGGTTACCAAGCTTATGTGATTTTGATTTCTCTAGTTTCTTTCTTCATACCCTTCCTGGTGATACTGTATTCGTTTATGGGCATACTCAACACCCTTCGGCACAATGCCTTGAGGATCCATAGCTACCCCGAGGGGATATGCCTCAGCCAGGCCAGCAAACTGGGTCTCATGAGTCTACAGAGACCCTTCCAGATGAGCATTGACATGGGCTTTAAAACACGTGCCTTCACCACCATTTTGATTCTCTTTGCTGTCTTCATTGTCTGCTGGGCCCCGTTCACCACTTACAGCCTGGTGGCAACATTCAGCGAACACTTTTACTATAAGCACAACTTTTTTGAGATTAGCACCTGGCTGCTCTGGCTCTGCTACCTCAAGTCTGCATTGAACCCACTGATTTACTACTGGAGGATTAAGAAATTCCACGATGCCTGCCTGGACATGATGCCTAAGTCCTTCAAGTTTTTGCCGCGTCTGCCTGGCCACACAAGGAGACGGATCCGTCCCAGTGCTGTCTATGTGTGTGGGGAACACCGGACAGTGGTGTGAATATTGGAACTGCCTGGACATTTTGGGTGATGGTTGTTCTTTATCTGACTTTGAATTTTCTCTCACATGGGTTCTCCAAGTATACTTACTGTTTTTTATAGGATTTGTGTGTATGTGTGTATGCACAGTGTAAAGAAAGAATGGTGATTAGTTATAATACAGTTATCAAGGATACACAATAGAAAAATGATTACAAAAGTTACCTCCAGGGTTCAAGAGAAATCCTTGATTTAGTGTGGGGAGATGGTTTTTTGTTTCTTTGATTGATTTTGTTTTTGAAGCAGGAATCAGGATTGTGCTTTATTGAGCCTGCAGTTACATTGAATTGTAGGTGTTTTGTATGCTGCTAAGATATGCTTAATTGAGTTTATCAGTTTCTTTTTTGAAAGACATTGCTGCTTTTTGCCATCACATTGGAGCCAAAACCACCTACATCTCAGTAGATAAATATTTACTTTTATTAAAAAAAAAAAAACGCAAGGCGGTTAGTGACATTTTAAAGATCATTAATATTTACTTAGGTGCACTTTAAGAAATAATGTACAAACTGATTCAGTCATGTTTTTCAGAATTGTTTTTATACATGACATGTTGTGCTTTAGGGAACATTGCATTATCATTTCTAGGAAGATAGTTTTTAAATAATGTTTTATCTGCATGTCCAGTTTTAAAGAAGAGAACATAAAAATGTATACATTTTTCTAAGCACGATAGTGATTCTTTGGAGCAAATAAGGCAAAGTCCAGGAGACAGAGCATCCCTGCAAATTTAAATGGGATTGAGTTGAGTGGCAGGGTAGCTGGTGTGGGCTGGTGTTTCCTTTACTCAGTTCTCACTGAGTCTGGTGGGGAGAAGGACTTCCCATTTATTGGACACTTACCATCTTCCAAGCACTGTGCATCATTTTATCCTCACAGTATCCTGTAAGGTAGGTCGTATTTCTTTTTTTGTGAAGAAAGCAAGTCTCAGACTAAAATCCTGCTTAAGGTTAAAGGTAGAGATGGACTCCAAAAAATCCATCCGAATTCTGAGACTGCTGTTCTGCTGTGCCACATAGACATATCATTCAGCTTTAGTATTTCATAGTGAAGAAGGAACTCTGCGTATCCTGTAATTTTTTTCTTTTTTTAATGGTTTATTTATTGTTGAGAGAGAGAGAGACAGGGCGAGCAGGGGAGGGTCAGAGAGAGAGGGAGACACAGAATCTGAAACAGGCTCCACGCTCTGAGCTAGCTGTCAGCACAGAGCCCCACGCGGGGCTCAAACCCACGAACCGTGAGATCATGACCTGAGTCGAAGTCGGAGGCCTAACTGACTGAACCACCCAGGTTCCCCTCCTGTAATTTTTTTAAGACCTTCGTTTTAAAGGTTTAAAAACTAAAACCTTCCTTTTAAAAATAGCTTCACTTTTTCTTTATTACTGAAAGAAATGTGAAAACATTGCAGAAAGTGTGGAAAATAGAAAAAAAATCACTCACAACCACCCTTTGACAGTGGCACTTAAACATCTTAGATAAATAAGGCTATAATAGGAAGTAAGGTGATTTTTGTTTGTTTGTTTGTAAAACCAGTGACTGACAGGAAGTTGAATACAGCTGTCTGGAGGTCTTGGTCCTGCAGGCCCAGAGGTTTCCTGTTGTCCAGCTGTTTCTAAATGTTCTGGGCACAACAGTGGTCTTGCCCCAGGGCTTTGCCCTTAGCAGAGCTGTAATTGGTGAATGTGCTCAGAAGTGTATCTCCCACATAGAGGCAAAGATAAGCCCTGGTCCTAGCATAGAGCAAGTTTTAATCGGGCAAGTCTGGCTTTCAAACTATTTTTCTCTTGCTGACGACCTGCCCCCACTACGTGCATCTGGAGCCTTTGGTCCCCTCTCTCTGTAACCCCTGACACATTTTATAAAATATCTGGTGGGGATGAAGCTGCAGACTAAGGTCATAAAGGTTAAAATGTAACCTTTTGGTTACATCGTGGGCTTTATTTTTTTTTTTAATGTTTATTTATTTTTGAGAAAGAGAGAGAGAGTGTGAGCAGGGGAGGGGCAGAGAGACAGGGAGAGACAGAATGCTCTGTCAGCAGAGAGCTGTCAGCACAGAGCCCGATGTGGGGCTCAAACTCACAAACCAAGAGATTGTGACTTGAGCTGAAGTCGGATGCTTAACCAACTGAGCCACCCAGGCGCCTCTCATGAACTTTATAAATAGCTAAGTTAACCATGAACAGTTTTTGGATTTTTATAGGATCTTTTCAGAATTTTAATGCTTTATGAGCCAGCAGGGAAAATGAACCTCTTTCTTCAGTTTTACAACCACAGAGCTGGACTAGATGAATCTTGCCCAACACTAATGTGTTTTCTTCCACATGAGAGTAGAGATTTGTGAAGAGCCCAGCTGTCAGCATCAATCTTTGGCCTCCAGTATTACTTCTTTACATTTTATTTATTAGCTGTTTCTTAAAATGGAATGTCTACTGAATGTCTGAAGAGCACAGTATCAGGAATTAGGACTTTGGAAGGTTAATGACATCATAAAGGATTTGGGGAACCTTGCTCTTAAGGCAGTTGAAATGGTATTAGAACTCATTTTCTAGTCAAAGAACTCTTTTGGTTCTCGAAGCATATTACTCAGCATGTTGTTTTGGGATCAGCTTCTGCTGATAATCACCTACCTCTTTGGTTTCTAATTTATATTATTCACAGATTAAAATGGTTTTTGTCCACTAGGGATCTTACAGAACATAAACACTGTAGTAGATACATAGAAGCAGATGGAAGTGAATCATGCTTTCCATTTTCAATATAAACTGGATTTCAAGCAGATATTAATAAGTATATTTGGCTTTCTCTAAGGAAAGTCAGCATGAATTGTATTCATCTTACATATTGGCAGTAGGTCTTGGGACTCCTTTTGTGATAGGAATTGAAACTGAGCTTTGCTTTCTTTGTCCTTTTTTTTTTTTTTTATGAGCCACCCTTGGGTTCTTTTATGCTGCCTGGCAGGCAGCGCATCATTTGGTGGGAGCTCAGAGCGCTTGCTGAGATGCTTAGTGTTTGGGAAAGGAGACCATGCAGGGCCTTAGTGAGAACTCCGCAACAACACTGAATGGCGGTTTTCTTTACACTGGATACTCTTGATCAGAGGACAGTTTACAAATCATTTTGAATGTTTTTATTACGTATACATCTTGAAAGCTTTAAATAAAAAGTACTCTGGTATACGTTTGAAAAATTTAGGTGCAGAATCATATGTTGCCTATTTCCCTATGTTTTCTCGAGGGGAAAAAATACCACTATTAATTATCGCCGCTGACTGACATCATCAGAAATATTTTTGTTTTTATTTTCCTTCTGGCTAATAAGTAAGAGGCATGAAAGAGACAATGAGTTATTTGTGGTCAAGAAAAAGAGTCAAAGGAAATCCTTAGTAGTCTGGAGTAGTGATATTCAAATTTTAATATGAATTTGTGTCTATTCCCGGGGAGCTTGTTAACACTACAGATGCCTAGGTTCCCTAGAGGGTCTGGGATTGGGCCCAGGGATGCACGCTTTATCTTATTGAGCACTCTGTCTGATTCTGATGCTGGTGCTTCAAGAAGCACTACTATTGAAAATCTCTGCATTTTAATATTGTCTGTTTTATCAAAAAATGTTTGTATGGGAAGCCATGATCTCCTAGTGCATGGGTGATTCACATTGAGGGGAAACTCTACGCATCATTGTGCTTTATTTGCTGCCATGTGCGTTAGTGCTGGATCTCGCCAGTGTTAGCCTCACCTTCTCTCAGCTGGCAAATTCTGGTCAACCATATTGTTTTACGGTAGAATGAAGAGAATGACTTAATATTTTAAAGTCATGACTTTCACGAGTCTGGTTCCTCTAATATTTTCTTTCCTTCTAGAGAGATGTCTTTATTGTATATAATCTCCAGAAGACTGAGGGGAACGTAAAGACTCATCTGATTATCATTGCTCTACTTAATGCCAGTCGTGTTCAATGGAAGCATGAAAAAATAAAATAACCTTTTTACTCTATGTATTTTGGTTGCTGACAAAGATAATTTAATTTGTTCCTAATCTTTGCTTTTGTTTACATGAAAATATTTATGTATATATCACAGAAAAACTTTCACCTGCTTGTCATTTTATTCTACCACGAGTTTTAAGTTTAAAGGACTGCTTAATTCAAATTTATTTTCACAACCATAGTCCTGCTAAACTGCCTTCATTGAAAACTCAGTTTTTAAATAATAAAAATATCAAAGCACATGTTTGTTATTTCAGGTAAACGGTAATACATTTCTTAGCTATAAATTGGTACTAGTCCTTTGTAATTAAAATTAATTTATTTTACAATAGTACCTAACCTAAAAAACAAAACCACTTTGAATTTTGGGTTGTAACTCAAAAATAAAATGTACGGTAATATGTGCATATTGTTATTACAACCAGGAAAAGAACTCCCAATGAGAAAATGAATAAATAGTTAACATTTCTAAACGTGGAGTTTTTAAAAAAGGACTACTTCATCTTAGAAAAATTTGTCATGAGTAATACTTTCTGTTAAATTAAAATCTGAGTTGAGTTTCAAACCCTGCTTCCTTTGGGTTTTTATTTTCAAATTAGCTCTCAAAGCCTGTGTGTGTATAATTATATTCTAGTTTTAGAAGTTCTCAGAGAAGTTAAAGATGAAATGAAACTTGGCAAAAGACCACTGATACTAGGAAACGGTTTTAAGGAATTCTCTCTAGGAGAATTACAGAAATTTTACTCCTGAATTATTTAAAATTGGATTGTCACTTGGCAAAGCAATGACAATGTCTGCTTTTATTTTGACAAAATGATTTCAGACTGCACTTCCATTTCTAAAACCTAAGGCCTTTCGAAGATCCACTTTTAAATCAATAGGAAATATCAATTATTTGTACATGAGTTTCAACTTTTTGCCAATTAGAAGGGTTTTATTTTCTCTTGTTTTTCACTCATGCAGTAGCTAAATATATTTTTTTAAGTTATAAAAGAAGGTTGTCACTGAATCTACATTTGATAGTTTTTTTTTTTTTCCTGAAATGGAAAGATACAGCAGAGTAGAGGACTACGCGTTGA